GGAAATGCTGGGCTCAATTGTGATTGTAATTCGAGGACTCCCAGTATGCACTCAAACTTCCAAAATTTTTAAACAGTGCACCCCAAAGTGATCAATATCAACCTTCAAGCTTCAATGGGATTGTCTAAGGAAATTATTATTTTTACTATGTTGATTATAAAGTCACAATCCTTGACTGTTGCATCCTTCCCTATTCCACTTGTTAAAGAGTCATAGAAACCTCCACTACTGCAAAATTACATGTAGGTATGACTTAAAAGATCTGTGTCTTCTGCTTTCCTGGCCAAAGCAGACTTACCTGGCAAAAGGTGTAAACAGAGCAACTAAAACTATATGCAAACTGGGCATTTCTTTTTTATCTTCTAACCTAGGGAAGGCCTAAGGCAATGGTATCTTGCAGTTTCCCACAGTATATTATTCCTAATGTTGCGTATTTTTGATGAATCCTTGATGCGGGGAGGATGAACCACCACAATAGGTTTCATAAAACCAGCTCAAGTGTAATTGCAGGAACAAGCTGAAGTTGGGCCAAAGGGTGTTCCTGGAATTTAGGAAGCTAATATGGAAAATTTTCTGGATGCTGCCTGATTTTCTCCATTGTCCTAAGGAATGCTGGGGTGGTTTCAGAGAGATCTTGAGGTTTTCCCTGAGGATTTGGTGGGTAGTTTAGCCGAGGCTTTGGGATACATTTAGTCTAGGTGGCCATTCCCTATGTGCCGATTGAAGGTGCTTCTTGGTTTGTTGAGAAGCTCCTGAAAATGAAGCGCCAGAAGAATTACTGAATACCATTGGAGGAAATTTGAAGCAAGTCTGACCAGACAGATAAGAGCCCACATTAGGGATTACCTTGTAGTGCTGAGGACTAAGGAACATCAGTGTGTTTCTGCTATTATTGTGTCCATTAATAGCCATCTAGAAGTCCTGTTCCCTGTTGGTTAAGGAGGGTTCCCTGGAACATCTACTGAGCTATCATAAAAACTATTTAGCCTATCTAGTGGATGAAATTATTCAAATCTATTTCAAGTTGGACTCTGGACAGGCATGGTCAGGCTGAGGTGCATGAGGCACAATCTGGGGTTGGGGTGGGATAAGATTGAGCGGGTTAACTCCTGAGGAAGTAGACTGGATTCTCTGTAATGTCAGCACAGCCCGCTACCCGTTTATTGGATTAAACCTTTTCTGGGTTAGGAAAGCTGCCAGGAAAGTCAACTGTGGTTTGGTCTATGCTGTGGTGTCAAATCTCTTTGCAAAAGTAAGTGATATTTCTTGCCTTGAAAGTGGGGATAGTGTACCCCTTCTCATGAGTCTATTCTTGGACCTAACTATTTTCAATACATAATGTCCAGTCTCCAACTCATCTTTCCAGAGAAAGTTGTTTAGAAGATGGTTAGTCTGCAGTTGAGGAGAACCCTGGAGGAAGTGAATTATCTAAACCTATTTCTGTCAAGTTTTAGATCAGGATCTAAAGTATTGTAGATAACCCATGGCAAAACCAGGATGGAGATCTTTGTGTACCTTGATCACTCAGTGGCTGCCAATACCGTTGATCATGGAATCCTGAGCCTGCTCCAAGGGCTGGAGAGAAGAGGCACCAATTTACAATGTTTTTTCTTTCTTTCTCCAGAGTGATTTCAGTCAGATTGGTCAGAGAGAGAGAGGTTGCTCAACAGGCTTTTTTGTGGGGTGCCACAGGATTTTACTCTCTCTCCCCTCCTCTTCAACATCTACATGTTGGGCAAGGCCATCCAGTATCTTACAATTCAGTATCATAACTGATACCCAGTTATACAGTATCTTTCAACCTTGGGCCTGCTAAGTGAAGCTGCCAGATTTCTGTCCCTATTCAACATACAGGGTTTGACATTAACTTTCAACTGAAAAAGTAAATTTAGGACAACTGAATTCGAGGATGATGATGATTATTTTCAAAGATAAATATAATAGTAATTGTTTACATTTTATGATTATACTCAGTGTTGTTGAATATGCCTGGAGGCTATGCAAGTGTGAATGGGGGAGAACTGTCTCCAACTTAATCCTATGAAAACTGGCAGAGTGCAGGGGCCTGAAAGGACAGAGATGGAGGGAGATAGGCAAATGGAGATTGTGGAAGTGTACCCATTGTTAGAATTGGGCAATGCAAAATTTAATTAATAAGTAAAACCAGAAAAACAAACAATTGAGAAAGTATTTAAATAGTGTATCTAAAAGATTCCCCATAAATTGATTTATGGAAGGTGGTTGGACTCTAAAAGAAACATGAAACCAACTAAAATTAATTAGTGGAGGAAACCAACAAAACCTTTTTGTTTGGCACAACACATTTAATAGTCCAGTAGATTTCATATTTATTATAAGAAATTCTTAACAAAAATATACTGGAGATACCAGGGGATGTAGAAGAAATTGTTTATTAAAAGCTTTATTGGACACACAGTATATGGCCAGAAATATATTCGATCATTCATAACTTCAAGAACTTGCTGATGGATTTTACTCTTATCCTGTGGTAGAACATGGAAATTAAAGCCTCTTAAAATAAAAAGAGCAGTGTAAAGTATATTGCAAAAAGAACTGAAGTTGTTCCCTAAGGTATGAGAGACAGATTATTGATGAGCAGCATATGAAAAATGAAAGCAATATTACATAAAGAAAAAAGTTGTAAGAAGAAACTTCAAATTTATCTTTTGAACATTAATCACTTTTAAGACTGAAATAAAAACAGTAATAACTACTAATCCCACCCTTGGGCAAGATTTAATTTAAGAAGAAGAAAAAAGTAACTTGGAGAGTTATTTTTTTTCCCAAGGTGCTATCTGATATAAAATCTACCCAAAATGTTAGGTGGGAAGATAATATTCCATTCATTTCATCTAAGAGTCGGACTGATAATCCTTATATATCTACTAAGAATTAAGCCCCACTTATGCCATTGGATTTTCTCCTGGGTAGATAAGTAAACAGTAGAACTAAATCTGTTTATATTGATCAATTGTTTCCACTATGAGGGTGGGAAACTCTAGTAGGCTGCAAATCATTTTAACATCTAATTTTGAAATGATGGCCACAGATGACTGAAGAGAAGAACAAGTAATAGGTTTGACTAAAGAAAGAAGAAAGAACAGAGATTTGAGTCTAATGTATACCAGGTGCCACACCAAAATTAAAAAGACTTGTTTCTTTGGCTATTTGGATCACTGAATTAGTTTTTTAGAACTTGGCTCCGTTAACACTCGAGAAATTTAATTTCATTTTCAAAGAAGCTATTGATTGCACTTAAGTTTCTGCATACAAACTGGAGACATAGTAAAAGTCAGTTAATGACAATGGAATATTTACAAACATTTGAGCAGTTCTTCTTAGAACTACACCTTTCTGTTTTTATGATTGACACATATACATAAATGTCCAAAGATCATTGTATGTGCTGCCTTTTGTTCTTTAGTACATTTTTTAAAATTTACCATATTTTTCGGAGTATAAGACGCACCAGAGTATAAGATTCATCAAGATTTTGAAGAGGCAAATTAAAAAAAGGTTTTTGCACTCTGCAGACCTCCCAAAAACGACTCGTTTTTTGCGAAAACAAGCCCATTTTCTTTTCAAAAAAATTGCATGAATAGCCTTTAGGGGGCTTGTAGAATGCTCATGGGGGCTGGGGACCTCCCCAAAAGAGCAGAAAATGGCTCATTTTCCGCTCATTTCTACCCTCCCCAGCCCCCAGGAGCACTCTATAAGCCTTCTAAAGGCCCTGCACAGCCATTTTGGTGAAGGTGTCAGGGTTTCAGGAGGCAAAAAATGTTGTATTCAGTGTATAAGACGCACCCAGATTTTCAGCCTTTTTTTTGAGGGGAAAAAGGTGCGTCTTATACTCCAAAAATATGGTAAGTAGAACTGATGAGCTACTACAAAGTAGCTCTAATATTGGGGAAGGACTTTCTAGAGCTCACCAGAATATCATGCAGAAGGAGCAGCTGAGAAACATACATACATACATTTACAGTATGCTCATGGCTTTTTGTAAATACCATTCTATTCTATGTGGTAATATCCTAATGCCCAATTAAAACACATATTTTATATTATTCTGGGTCTACTTCTTCAATTAAGATGCAAATATGATTGAATCCAAAGATTTTATTCTGCTCATAAAAGAAGGGTTCTGTTTATGAGGAGATTCCTTTTTTTCTTAGAAAACTTTTTCTACGATAGAAAAAAAATCATTCATGAAAACATTTGGATCCAACCCATTCTTAATTAACATTGCTGAATAAAAACCAATTTGAAATTATAGTATTTAAAACTACAAAGAGATGACAATACACTCACAAACACACACTTAATTGTAAAATGCAAAGTCAATACAAGTAATTGATAGATTAGAAAAATATGGGGGGGGGAGTATTTTTTTCAGTAATAATGTAATAATAAAGCTATTATAGTTATTATTAGTGGTTAAAGATGCTGAGTTAGAGATCTTGAGGTCATGAGTTTTAGTCCTCCTTATGCATAAAACCAACTGGACAGCCTTGGACTAGTCCCATTCTCTCTCAGTCCTAACAAAAATGGAAGGGCAAGTCACTTCTGAAATCTCGCCAAGAAAACTGCAGGGATTTGTCTAAGTAGCCACCAGTTGTCAACACTGACCAAAAGAAAGAAAACAATAAAAAGAAATAGTTCACAAAGATATTAATTTAAGAGATATATTTGGCAAAGATAATATTATTTTCCAGAATAAAACCGTAAAATTCAAAAATAGTATATTTGGAGTACAATCTTATCTAATGAAGCGTTTTGACATTTAAATAATATTAAAAATTAAGTATGCATGTAAGTAAATATATAGCATTTTGGTAATTACTTTATTGTCCATATAGCAAAATTGACTACCAATGAATTATTATAAACCGAAAAAGTAGAAAATGCTCAAATAGCATTTGAAGATCCCTCAAAATTAAGATTTATTCTTCCCCACCGATAAAACATTTTGTTTATGAGTGTTAGAAAAGGCCATCAAATATGCCAAGAAAAGGCTTAATATCCCCATTGTCATCAAGTTGATGCCTAGGACAAAAGAAAGCACAAAGAAAATGTTATTTTTACTATATTAAACCTTATAAAATTACTATTTTAACATAATATGGAAGAGCTAATAAACCAAAATATTGTGCTAAAGTATAAATATTAGTAGGATGTGCAAATTGAACAGAGAATTTACTCCTGGAAACTACTGTATCATTTCAGAATAAAAATGATCCTGATATTGGTTTGGAGCAAGAAAAAAGTGTTCCAGGATTTTCTAGAATATTTCATTCATGAAAAAATGAATTTTATACAGCCTTAATTTGCATGTTTTGTCTTATGTCAACAATGAGCATTCTCAAGGCTGTAAAGATAACAGTCAAATATCCATTAACTCAGTCAGGAAGAAGAAGTTTAGACTCTATACTTTGGAGCATACAGAAACATAGCACTGTGTACTTTTGTTTTACTGTTGCCTGAAATAAAGAAATTAGTTAGGCTGTGTCTATATGCAGTTACAGAGAGTTCAGATTTGCAGCCATGCTTGGGAGAAGTCGGAAATATATAGTAGGAGAGTAAAAAGAGTTGGTTAGTTGTGCGTTTATGCCTTTTGAAATACATGTTCAGAAACCATTATGAAAATTTCAGTTTGAAGATTCTACTAAAATGTTTTTAATACCTAAGATCAGCCCCCTTTGTCATAGTTCTGTTAGTAATAAAAAAGTCTCCCTTTTCAGCAACTTGGTAAGATGTCAAGGTTGTTTCTGAAGTTGTAGTTAATTGTGCCATTTTCAGCTTTTCTGGTGGATTATATTCTTCTTGAAGTCGAAACTGTAACACAAAACCCCCCAAAACAAGTAGATGCAGTTAGCATCATATCATCAACGGTTTACTTCTATATTACATAAGTTTACACAATTGAATCTTGGAAATATAAACTTAAGGCTTAATCAGAAGTGGTATTCAGCAGGTTCTGACAGTTCTGGAGAACCAGTAGTGGAAATTTTGAGTAGTTCAAAGAACCGGTAAATATCCACCTCTGACTGGCCCCGCCCCCATCAATTCTCTGCCTCCCAAGTCCCAGCTGATCGGGAGAAAATGGAGATTTTGCAGTAACCTGGAGTGGGGAGGGAATGGAGATTTTACAGTATCCTTCCCTGCTACACCCATCAAGCCATGCCCACAGAACCGGTAGTAAAAAAATTTGAATCCCACCACTAGGCCTAATATTATATTAGGGTGATTCTATGCCATATTACACTAAGAACATTTCTCAAGGATCCAAGTATTAAAAGTGACACTAAATTAAAAAAAATATCTCCCAATCTTTTTCTCTCTACCACAATTCAAATATCAAGTAAACAATGAAGTCACAAGTAATCTTTTTCCCTAGATATCTTCCCTATAAAATGCCCTGGTTAACTTAAAATGGATACTTCTTTAGCAAAAATGTGAGGAGGTATGCCCTGAACCTAAGGCCTTGCAGGTGCCATTGGTCCCAATGGCATCCAGAGAGAGAGAGAGAGAGAATGGATATGACCTGGGCAATGCTTAACTCCATCAGAGTCATAAACAAGCATCTCTGTCTTCAGAGAGACTCCCCTCATTCCATCTAACCAAAGACTAGAAACTTCACTCTTATACTCTTCACTGCTTATGCTATAACCTGAGTGCAGCCTTAATAAAGAATTGCAATAGAAATTATAACTAGGTGATTAAGGTATCATCTTTAATCATAGTCAGGCAGTTGATTAGCATCTCCTTAATAATGAACTTCCCCAGTGCCGCTGCCACTTCTGAAAGTGGGGCTTTTGCCTAACAACAGAAATACCCCAGGCCCATAGTCAAGAATCTACTGACTTTCCCCAATATTTACCAATAAACTAGATTCCTAGGATTGCTGCCTGTAGCCCTGTAAAAATCTTTGCTTTCCCATTGTTTGCAATTCTTTTTTCTTGTAAAACTGGGACCCAACAATCACTAAATAAATGTTCGGCTATTTCTGCTCTGTGTTGTACCCCTTTCTTTCTTCTGAATTTTTCATGACAGCAACTATCTTTCAGAAAATGTACTTACAACTTCTGTCCTGCCTCAGTCATGCATATGCAAACATATAAATGTCAGAAAAGTTTATCAGGCAAAATTGGTAATAAACCTAATAAACACCAGGCATGCTTTCAATATGTATTTAGTACAATGTTAGACAAGTAAATTATCAAATTTGTAAATTATCACTTACAATATCTTGATTTCCACATTCTAAAAGTAATTTGCTACTGGATGGAGGAGTCAGTGAAGGAGAGTAAGACTTTTGTAAACAGATATCAGGTTTTGTTTTTTCTGTAGAATAACTAAAAAAATGAAATAGAATCTAAACAAAATTAAATACTGCAAAATAAAAGAGTATAAGGTTTTAAAAAACAGCAAGATGCTACCACAATAAATTATGTAACATTTTGGAGTATTTTCATTCTAAACATATAAGAAGGTGTATAGTAACAGTAGGAAATATATATATATATCTACATTCCATTCTTAATATATGTACATTTAGAATGTTTTTGCAGAAATTTTATTTACAAGATTGATCTGAGATTCAGGGCATTAAAGAGAAAGGATTTACAGACAAAAATTTTTTGTGCATATATAACTCTTACACTTGTGAACCAGGATGGCTTTTTAAAAAAATCATAAACATATCTTTCTATGCAAAAGCAGTCTGTTAGAGACGGCCAGAAGACAAGTGGGATAGTGTATCTCTGGGGGATTTACATTTGAAAATCTTTGTATATGCAAGCATAACTGAAGATACATAAGTAGTTATTTTATTACATTATAGATACCTTTTAAAAAGTACCCCAGGAGGTTTTTTCTGAGTGTTTTGACAAAACGATGTATTTTTTCTCAAATTCTGGATGTACATATTTCCGGACTCCAGGGGAGAAGATTCTAAAACAAAAAAATAATGCCAAATATCTTGCAAATAGTATCTAAATATAAATGAAATCGATCTGATATACCGTATCTATCATTTTAGTCTCGTACTATAATAAAATCTTGGCTGATTTTGAAAAAAAAAAGATAAATAGGGTTGGTTTTTGTTTGATAAAAATATCAAACAGTTGTAGCCTAAATTGGGAAGTAAAAAGTAATCCTGTAAAAAAAGTAATAGAAGATCGTTTCTGCATTTCTGCCAAATATTTGCACTAATATTTCAATTTAGTTACCACAAATTAATCAAAACAGGATCTTTATCAAAACAAAAGCTAATCAATCATACAGATGCTTATTTGTGCGTTAGAGTTATACTGCAAAGTATACCTTTCTTCTTAGCATCTTGTCTATATTCTTAAAATCAATATTTAAAAAATCAGATATGACAATTAAGTGTATCTGGTTCCAGTGTTCCAAATTATTAAGAAATTATCCGGATATGCCACTATGGGTATGGTATGTTATGTTTTAGAAATTGTACTCTATTATTTTATTTACCCCTGTTATATATTTATAACAAAATAAAACAAAAATAATATTTTAGTCACTTGTGAAAAACATTTTTTTTGCTCTGTGTTTGTGACTGGGGAGGTTTTCTTTTTTGGATGAAACTAATAATGCTGATTTAATATTCAAAATACTAGTACATAATGTAAGGTTTCAGCAGTTTTCCCCGAGCCACTGAAATGCCAAAGTGTGAGACTCAAGATGACGCTTGCAAAAAGTATCAGCTTTTATTTATGGCCATAGCAAAAGCTGGATGACAAAACTATATCCAAAACATACAAACAAATGCATGTAAGGAATAGCCACCCCCTGCAAGAGTGGCTCAGCGTATTATATACATTTTAGGCAGATAGAAACAAAGTTTATCCAATCAGGGACAAAGATTTGTTACCAACGTGATCTTTAAAGCGTTCTTTTGTTCAAGCTCCTCTCTGTCTACCTTATCTGTGAAGTATTCCTTTGGCCTTGTGTAAGGGTTGGCAGCCCCCCTTTGCCAAGTTGTTTTTTGGCAGAATGCTTTAAGGATTTATGAGCCAGGAAAACTCCCTAGTTTGGTTCCTTTATATATGCAGCTTGATATTCCCATGTAACAATTTCTTCTACTAGCTTTCAAGAATGTCCCTAGCTTTGAAACCAAGAATAGAAGCGAGATACAGCAATGAGATAATTGCAGTCCAGTATTAAGGTTACAATTTGCTATGCTAGAAAACAACTAATTTCTGATAATATACAATAATATAAGCAGAAGCTAATATTGATTCATATATTCCTTCAATAGTTTAAACGAAAATTAGCTACTACATTTAATTTTTACCTGGATCTTTTAACTTCTGCATATTAGCGTTGCTGTGATTCCCATCATTGTAATCACTCCAAATTTCATTTCCTAATTCAAAATTTACATTCAAAGTTTCAGAAAACAAAGAGATGCTTTTATCTGCATCAGTCAAGTTGCTCATTGAAGATTCTTCAAGACTTTCGTGTGAGCTCATTGTCAGGTTATTCTTTTCATCAGACTGCTTGATAGGAAAGAAACCTAAAATTTGAAATAACAATACTATTCCAATGTAATTCCTTACATTTTTAAAATAATAAATGTATCCAATTTAAACAAAAAGAGAGATGAATGTACAACACCATTTTTGGAAGCAGGCATCATGTTTCTAATAGGGAGCAGACATTTATTTATAAAATGAGCTTTTGATTGCATTTATTTTTACAAGCTTTTCTAATTACTATATATTGACCTGAAATATTTATATTCAGATATTTATGAAACTGGCTTGGACAGTAAATGTATTGTTTTGTGTAAAAAACCCTACAAAATGAGAATATTTTGGGATAATAAAGTTAATCCAGTTATTCCTTTATGTTACCATATAAAGAAGTGAAGAAGCATGATGTTTCCAAGTATTTAATGCAATTAATTTATATCATTGAAACTAAAGGAATTAAAAGAATTGAACTGTGACTAAATTGTGGCCATGTAAAATAAATGTTAAAAATCATTAGAAATGTACCATTTATTTTGCGAACTTCAGGTTCCAGTTGAAATGTTTGACAGACATTAGAACTATAGATGTCTTCTGGTAAAGGAGATCTTGGATGTTGTCCATGTTCTAATCTTTAGAAAAATGTAATAATTAGAATCAATGTTATAGTGAATAACCAGTAAATTTGAGATTATTATTAAAGAAAACAAACAATTGCTTTTTCCTACACAGTACAACTTGATGCAATTGCCATTATCACTAAAGTGATTATGCATTTCCAGCATCTTCCTGTAATTGCTACTGCCTGCTTGCTTTAGCTGGGCAACTGGAAGGACCTTTATGCCTTGTGTTTTTAGCCCTTCCTCTGAGAAACACCTCCTGTTATGTGTATGTTATTGGCTTAAATTCTATCTCTCTTCCCCCCCATGGCGCTTCTGCCTTTCCTACTTTAGGAGTGTTCACTTTAAATTTAGATAATATACAGTATAGTCATAACTAACACAGCGCTTCAGCTTGACATGCCTCTTAATTTCTTCCAGATATTGAACTTCAGTACACAGTAATTTAGCAACAACCCCAGATTATATTGTCTCCTCAGTATATCAACGGGACCATAACCCACATACTATTTATTCAAGTTATTCTATATTCATTTTCCAAGCATGTTTTAATGCCCTTCCTTCTGCAGTTATAGATGGCAGTTATAAAGGAATCCCTTATGTTCAAATAAAACTGAAACACTAGAATATGTTTCTCTAAGATGTAAATTCTATGCAGAACTGTGTTGTCAATTAATTATTTTTTGGAAATACTGCGTTGTCCCCCAGATCAATTATCTGTGATTTCTAAAATCACAGACATCCTGAAATCATTGTTTAACATTCAAATGTTGTGCTATAGTGATCAAGCTACGTCAAATCCAGATTTCTTATTAAAGACATGTCATATATTAAACTGTTAATGTTATTATTCCCAAGTTCCCAAGAGATGACCTAATTAATTTACGAGCCTTGAGACAAAGTTCAAACAAAAAACATTCATTTATTAGGATCAACATCTTGGCTTGATCTTCTGTGGAGCCTAAACTGGCTTTCGCTTAATTGCATTTGAACTTTACCCCTCTATCTCCTCCCTTCTGTCATGCATCATAACTCATATTCGCCAACTAGATTGTAGATATATGAGACCTGACTCTGGCCAAAGGGATGCATGGAATCCTCCCTCCAGTGCCAACCTGATAATTTTCATGGCAACGCTTTAGAAGTTGACAATTATATTTTTAGATTGTACCAGACTTGTTCTAATTTATGTCTTATCAATCTTTAGCTGAAATAAAGAGACAATGATGATAGATGACTCTTACTGTTACTACAATACCTTGGCAATCCTGGAAGAGAAGCTTTTGGAATATAACTAAATTGTTTAAGATTGACTTTTTGAGATTTATTTGACATCTGCATCTAAAATGTAGAAAATTATTATTATTATTATTATTATTATTATATTATACAGGGGCACTTATATTTGTTTCTTATATACAACTAGAAAAAAAATAAACAAACCACAATTTAAAAAACTAATTCTATTATGAACATATTTTTTTCTACTTGATGTTTTTATATGGTAGAAAATAGCTCTTTGTGTATGGGTGTAGAGCAAGAGCAAGATCTACTTATCTTTGGATTGAAAGTTTTCTATGGTTAAGATTAGGGTTAAGATTAAGAGCAAGGAGTTCTAATCCTCCCTTGGAAGCCAGCTGGGTGATGTTTTGGACCTATTTTTCTCTTTCAGACTTGGATCCAGAAGCTGAAAACTATCTTGCTACAAACATGTCTATGGAAATTGTCGGTCATTCAGGTCATGGTTATCCCAAAGGTACTTTTTCAAAAGGCAACTAGACTTTCTGGTTTTTCTTTGAAGACGTTTTGGTTCCCTTCCAAGAAGCTTCTTTAGCTCTAATTGGATGGTTAAGTTCATTTCTGAGAGTACAACATACTGAATTACCTATTGCAGGTGGGTCCTTTGAATCTTCCTCCACAAGTCCAATATATAGAGCTGAAGAAGCTTCTTGGATGAGAAGTGAAACTTCTTTAAAGAAAAACCAGACAGACCAGTTTCCTCTTGAAAAAGCACCTTTGGGACTTGATACCAACATGTACTAAACTAACATAATAGATAGCAGGATATAACCTTCAGTGAAAAGGCCTTTATATGGGAATAGATTGATTTGGAATGTTGATAATGATTTTAGTGAATGGCAGCTTTGAATTATGCAAAGAACAAACGAAGGGTGGCTATAATTCTATTTATAGTTTATTATAACAATGTATTATAGAAATATAATTTATTATATTTCACTCACTATTATACTTGTAATCATTTTATGGTAGAAAAAAAACTCCTACAAAAGGAAAGAATAGTTTGAAATCTGTAAATTTATTTAACTTAAACAAAGGGGAAAACTAGATGGTGACTCCTTAGAAATAAAAATGATTGCAATGTAAAATCTTAAGAAAAGAGTATAAACTTGATCCTCCAAACCCTGCTTAGATGGCAGGCAAGAAGCATTATAAAACTTTTGCCTGCAAATAGTAGCATAAGATACAATATCCAATCTTAGTTTATTATTCAATCCAACAATCATATTCAAATTAGCTACTAATGTTTAAAAAAAATCATATATTGCCAAAATATACATTTTTTCCAAAGCTACCTCCTGTGGAATACTGGTATCAGTTTCTATACTTATTTCAAATAAATGGTAAAGAAGATTATAAAACTTTTATTTTCCAACAGGTTTTCTGGAGTAATTTGTACTGTCACCTTAATCTTTTTTGTAGACATTTTTAATGTTACTATAATATTCTGCCTTTTTTCTTCACAGGAAATATTCAACATTAGATATTATATTTCACTAATAAAAATGCTCTTAATTTCAAATAGTTATTTTATTTTAAAAGGGCACACATATTCTTTCAAATTCATATACCTTTAGTCGCTTGACTGGGGGAATGGCAGATTCAGCATTCCTGTTTCTTAAGTCAGTAAGATATGAAGAAAAAGCTGAGTCATTCTTCATGTTAGATTTCTCTGAAACTCCAATTTTACCTTAAAAATGTAATATATATATATATATAAATATATTCATTTTATATTTATATTTTATTTTTGTTACAGAAAACTAGAAACAAAAGAAAAATAATTCATAGATGTTTCAAATAAACTCTTGTGTGACAACAGCCAACCGTTTCCATTTTATTGGCAACAATGCATGTACCAATTATTTCTAAATAATTCCTAAATCCATTTTTAATGCCAAAAAAAAAAGGAAGCTATGAGGCATATATCATAGTTATGAGTAAATTATAATGATAACCTGTTCATTTTTATTGATTTGTGGTCTATTTTTTAATGTTACTCTTCCAGATGCACATTTTAAAAGTTTGTGGGTTTTGGGTATGTATTGTACACCAGGGTTACCCAACCCCTGGCCCATTGACTGATACCAGGCCTGTTTGGAATCGGGCTGTGTAGCTGAAGGTGAGCAGCAGGTGAGCAAGCAAAACTTCTCCTGTGCATGTGCTGGATCTAGGTTGCATATAAAACCATCCATCACCACTCAGTCAGAGAAAATTTGTCTTCCATGAAACTAATCCCTGTTGCCAAAAAGGTTGGGGACGACTGTTGTACTCCATTAAGAATCTGTCTTGTTCCAAATGTAAAACTTCCTCCACTATACCCATTTTTAAAAGTGTTTACATTTATGAGCATGTGCACATTTCTAAACTCAAGAGGCTGAGTGAATCCTTGTCATAATGCTTTACATGTAGATTGTATCATTCATAAGTTACTATAAGAAAAAAACTCACAACAGTCATGTCCACAAGTTTCTTTATTTTTGCAGTGGTGATTGCATTTTCTATTTCCATTCTTTATGCTTAGCGATTCTTGGCTACAAGTTGCTTCTTTTGTTTTATGTTAATTTGATGACATAAAAGAAAAAAAAAACTTTAAACATTATATCAGAATCAAATACATGGTAATCAGTGAAAAATTGCAGCAGATTATTTTACTGTTTTTTCCACAAATTCTATAAGGTAATATGTAAATGAAGAAGGATCATGAAGAAAACATTTGAAAATGATCGTGTAGGAAACAGTATTTAGTAGGTGATAAGCCTACTAAATGTTTACTATAATTTAAGTGAATTTATCCATAATTTACATGTATGTATACTGACACTTCAATGTCAGAACAAAAGAATAAGACATTCTGTTTCTAAAAAATTTGTACCAAATTAAATCCCACAGTGTTCACTAAGGCTATCTCTGGAAAATATATCTGAGGATATTACAATTTAAATAAAAACCAACTAAAATATTCAGATTCAAAAAACAAAAACATATACATTAGGAATCATTATATATATTATAATAGCAGATAGATAGATAGATAGATAGATAGATAGATAGATAGATAGATAGATAGATAGATAGATATGGATAGATAGATACACACACACATAGATATAGATATAGATATAG